GAGGAGGGAGAGAGGAGAGAGAGAGGGAGAGAGGAGAGAGAACGAGAGCGAAAGACTTTTGACCCTGAGTTTAGCTTCTGTCTAGAACTGTGAGATAACACAGAAACGCTGGAAAAGAAACACAGGTGGGTTGGGGAGATGATTATTTAAAGAGAGCTTTCCTGTTACCTGAAATGTGCAAATTTGGTATTCAAACATTCAAATCAGTAGAGGGATGGGACTGATCAATCAGAAAGGACATGAACCATGAATAGTTTTTCTGATCATCGTTTTATGTAGTGGCTAAATACTAGCCTCAAGGACAGGCCTGCAGCTTTAGCAAACATTTTGGGGCTATGAGGTTGGAAGCCAGGAGGTGAGGATGGCAGAGTTGAGAGAGGAGATACACCAGTCCTCAAGACTGTGCAACAGACAGTTTAGATTCCCAGGGAGACCTTCAATCTTCTGCTACCTACACAGGAGAGTAGACTCAAATTTGTTTATGGCTCCGTTATTTTGCCTTTTAAATTTTCCTTAGTTCCAGACCTAAATTTAACTGCTATCCAATCTCATGAAGTGCAGGTAAACCTCAATGAATGATGGCTAGGAAAATATTTTGCAAACTCTCCAGCCTATAGATGTATTATATCTCTGCCCCTGTGTTAAAGCCTGTGTTCTTTATTTTTTTCTTTTCGTTAAAGAAAATAAATAAATTTAAAAAGTAACTTGGAGCCAAGGGAAGCACTAAATGCTTTCCTTTTATCCTCAGCATGGTCTGAATAATTGCTTAGGAAATACAAATTAATTCTTTAAATCATGAGTTTTTCAGAGGAAGAAAAATATAAAAATAGGACTAGAGGACTAACAAAGCAAGTAAGGTAATTGCCTTGTACATAGCCAACCAGAGTTTGATCCATAGCACCATATATGGTCCCTCAATACTCCTAGAAGTGATCCCTGAGTTTTCAGAGTCAGGAGTTAAGTCCTGAGCACTGCCAGTTGTAGCCCCAAAATAAAGAAGAAAAGGGAGAAGGAGAAGAAGGAGGAGGGGGAGAGGGAGGAGGAAGAGAGGAAGAAACCTTTTATTATTTTTTTAAAATTTGCTCTCCCTCCCCTTTTCATCGTTGTTATGGTAGTTATGGTGAGTGGGGGTTGCACACACACTTGACAATGCTGTGTGGCTGTGTGCAGATTGTCGTGGTGTCTCAGGTTAGTTATTATGCACTGGGCCACAGTGCTTCCCGAGGGTTGTGTACTTCAGTTGTGGTGCTTGCACATGCGTTTGCTGCAGGTTGCACTCTCCACTGAGGTTCACAAGCTCTGGCTGTGGTGCATGCTGGGCCTTGCTCTAATGCTACACACGTGCTTACTGAATTTCCTGAGTTTGGCACTCATGCAGCCTTCTAGCGGTGCTGCTTGCCAGGGAGAAATCCCCTTCCTGTGGAGCATATGCACACCCGACTGAGGAATGGCTGGGAATTATTCACGAAGTTGGAGAGTGCAGATATAGAGATGTCAGGTTCAAACAGCAGAGCTGCCGGGATCATACTTGGTGCACATGGGACACTGGGGATTTGAACTCATGACCATAAGCTTGCAAAGCAGAGTGCTAAGCCTCTATGCTGTTTCTCTGGGCCTTGTTAGGTTTATGCTCCTGCAGGCTCTATCCAGCATCAATCCTTGGATAGCAGTGGCACAAAAGGCCAACACAAGAGTAGCCACCAGCTGGGCTGATTGCCAGCAGGATAACTGAGCAACATTGTTGAGCGGGGGCCAGGATGCTCAACCCCTGTTGGATGTTAAGAATGAAGTTTAAGGGTTAGGACAGATGAACATAAATCTGGGCTCCACCTCTACTTACTGTGTAATCCTGGACAAGTTACTGAACTTCTCTGAGTCCCCAATTCCTGATCAGTGAAATGGGAACAATATAGCCCCTATGACATGGGGTTGTCATGGAGATACAGTGATGTCACATACCCAGTAGGGATAAAGATAAATCCATGACCTATTTGTACCCAACCCAGATAAGGCGTTGCACAGGGGTTACTCCTGGCTCATGCACTCAGGACTAACTCCTGGAGGGGCTTGGGAGACCATATGGGATGCTGGGAATTGAACCCAGGTTCACCGCATGCAAGGCAAACGCCCTACCCGCTATGCTATCACTCCAGCCCCCCAGATAGTTTTGTTTGTTTGTTTGTTTTTTGCTCTACTAATCCTTGACAGATTACAAATAAACAGACTGGATTCTGGTTCATTTTCTCTTTTATTGATTCATTCAATAAGCATGTAAGGATGTACCTTTTATATACTAGGTGATAAAAGAGTTAAGGAAACAGAGCTAGACTATTGTTTCCAGATATACTCAGCTGAATGATTTTAAAAAATAAGTAGAGTCAAAGTGATCCCATCTTCTAACTAGTTATATTTTTCTTCAATGTTTCTGCCATGCTACTCCTTTCTATTCCCTATAATAGATGTTTATTCAGTTACTCATATGTTGTACAAATGTTTACAAATCACTTAAAGCATAAGCCTGCAAATGCTCCTTTCCATAAACTGAAGGCCTCCTGAAAGCTTCTTCCTTCCTTCCTTCCTTCCTTCCTTCCTTCCTTCCTTCCTTCCTTCCTTCCTCTTTCTTTCTTTCTTTCTTTCTTTCTTTCTTTCTTTCTTCCTTCCTTCCTTCCTTCCTTCCTTCCTTCCTTCCTTCCTTTCTTTCTTTCTTTCCTCTCATCTCTCTCTTTCATATTTACTTATTTTGTTTTGGGGCCATTCTCAGTAATGTTCATGGGTTACTCCTGGCTCTGCACTCAGGAATCACTCCTGGCAGTGCTCAGGGGACCTTAAGGGATGATGGGGGATCAAATCCAGGTGGGCCATGAGCAAGGCAAGTGTCTTATCCCGTGTATTCTTTCTTCCTCTCATTCTTTTTTTTCTTCCTTCCTTCCTTCCTTCCTTCCTTCCTTCCTTCCTTCCTTCCTTCCTTCCTTCCTTTCTCTCTCTCTCTATCTCTCTTTCTCCTTCCTATCTTTTTTTTCTTTCTCCCTTTCTCTTTCTTTTTGTTTTTGGGCTACACCTAGCTGTGATCAGGGCTTACTCCTGACTCTGCACTTAGAGAAAATTCCTGGCAGTGCTCAGAGGAGACCATATGTGGTATGGGAAATCAAAACCAGGTCAGCTGTGTGCAAGGCATGTACCTTACTACTCTACTATCTCTCCAACTCAGTGAAAGTCTATTTCTCTCTCTGTCTCTTCCCCACTCTCTCTCTCATCTGTTTTTATGCATAGAAGACAAAGGTAGAAGGACCCAGAGAACAATTCAGTCGGAACCCTCTCCTTTTACAGGACAATATTAAACCAGCATAAATGACATTGGCTCCAACAGGATTACTCAGTCAAAGACAACTAGTACTCAGATGGCCAGGATGAGTGGTGACAGCAATTGCTCTTGAAGATTCCATGGCCACTGTCATACCAGCATGAGCTGAGTTTGAATGCTTCTGACTTTCCAGAAACCTAGTCTGTCAGAGAACGTGCATATGAGTTTGTCCCAGAGCCTTTTGACATGTAGATTTGAAAGATTCCATAAAGTGGAGCAAATTTTCCACTATGAAAGGGGTGATCTAGACTGCTTTCATCTTTTCTCTTTCTGCACCAGCACCTTGAAGTTTTAAGACTATAATTTTACAAAGAATCCTGATATCTGGTAGAGGACATTCTCACTTTTCAAGATTGTCTTGCTGTTCTTGTACAATTACTCTTCAGATGAACTTTGGAATTATATATATATATATATATTTTTAAAAATACAGGAAAAAAATTAAAAAATTAAAAAACAAACAAACAAACAAAATACAGGTATTGAATCTTCAGCACTCTTGTCTATAGGTGCAGGGCACTCTGAGGGTGCCAAGCCCTCCAGTCCTGCCCTTGAACATTCCCAGCCTAGTTGGGAAGTATAGCCAAACAAGAAGTGTAAAGCCACAATGCTGGGACATTGGGGTGTCCCAACGTGAGAGTGAAGAAGTGAGGCGTCCCACGGTGTGTAAATGCTGGGAGTTCCATCGCTTCTTCCAGCTCAGATTGTCACGAGGACCTTAATTGAAAAGGTGACACTGCACTGAACTTCAGTGGACAAGGAGGGACTTGTAAATTATAGAAGAGAAGTAGATTTCACTGGAGAGACAAGCAGGAATTGGCCTAATTCCGAAGGGAGGATGACGGGAGGCATTGCCCCGAGCTGCGGGAAATCACAAGAAAGCTTTCTGAAGGCATTTCAGCTAGGTTTTGAGCTGGAGGAATCAGAGAAGATGCTGAAAGAGACAATTTAATAAAAGGGATTTTATTACAAAAGCAATACAAGAGCATGACATTTGACCTGGGCTTCCAGGGATGCGTGAAAACGAGAAAGAGGAGTTCCACGGAGTTCAGGGATCACTGAAGTCTTCCCGGAGCAAGGAGGAACTCTCCTCGCTTCCTGCCCGCTCTCTAAGAGGCAGGATCTGAGAGTCCCACCGCAGAAACACGCTGCAGGGCCCCAGCAGGTCTGATTTTCTCAGCGCTGGGAAAAGACCGGCCCGGAGCGCTGAAGCTCCAGTTTGCGGAGCCTGCACGCCCAGCGGAAAGCTTTATGTCGGAATCGACCAATGAGAGAGCCGCGCCTGGTTGCCAGGACGACGGGGGCGCGGCGGAGGCGGGGCCTGGGCTGCGGGGCGGGACCTGGGAGGGGCTTATATAAGCGGGCGCGGGCGGAAGGCGGGCCGTGGGGGTCGGAGGCTGCTAGGCGGGCGGGGCGCAGGCCGCGGGGCCCGAGCCCGGGGGGAGCGAGGGAGCGGAGGTGCCGAGGATCCGATTCACTCGCTGGGGAGACCTATGGGCCGAAGCCGTGTAAATGCGTTTTAAGGCGAGTGTGCGGTGCGACTCGGGCAGTCTCGGCGGGGTGCGGGGAGCGGGCGCCCTGGAACCCGCTGCTGACCTCCCGCCGCCTCCCCCCTCCCCTCCCACCTCTTCTTGCCTCCTTTTAGCAGGGGCCTCGGCTCCGCAACTGCCACTCCTCCTTGGGGTGTTGCACAAGTTTCGAGGTCACCGGCGACCCCCCCTAGCAGCGCCCCTGGCTCTGGCCCCCGTGAAGGAGGACGGGGCTTGGTAAGGGGTTGCGGGGGGCGGGATCTCGACTCTGCACTCGGAAGGGGGCTCCAGGACCGAACCTCAGCCTTGGGTTCTCGCCGGGGAACCCGCGCCCCCTCCCCACCCTGAGGTCACCCCTGTGCACGCTTAGAATCCTGGCCCGCTTTGACAAACGGTGAAAGTGAGGCTTCGAGAGAGCGCGCGCCGCCGCGGTGTGTCCAAGGTCACGCACCAGTGGGGGCGCGGACTCAGACCCCAGACCGCGAGCTGCCCCTTGGGTGGGCGTGATCAGGAGTGCGGGGAGCACTCGGGAAACTCGATCGCCGCCGAGGTTCCACGCTTCCCTGCTCCCCCCATCCCTTCTCAATTCCCTCTCTCCGTGCCCCCCCCTACCCCGGTCCTCAGCCCTCTCCGCCCCATCGCGAACTTCAAAACTTGCATTTACGGTTGGGGAGGGGGTGGCGCACTGAGATTGGGCGTGGCCCCGACACCTGGACCTGCAGGGCACCGGCCAGCCGGGTGCAGAATCCCGCCTCCGGGTGCAGGGTGCCCGGCAGCGCCTCCTCCTTCTCCCCGCAGTGTGTTGCATACTTCTAAGGAGGCTGCAGCGGCAGCGGCGGCGGCGGCAGCGGCGGCGGCTCCATCCCGCCCACCGGCCCTCCCTGCGCGGCATGGCAGGTTACCTGAGTGAATCGGACTTTGTGATGGTGGAGGAGGGCTTCAGCACCGGAGACCTGCTGGAGGAGCTCACTCTGGCGGCCTCACAGGCCACCACGGTGAGGGGCCGGGAGCGGGAAGGGGCCGCGCGCCTCCGCGTCTGGGGAGCCCGCTGAGTCTCCGACAGCGGCCCCGGGACCTTCCTTCTCCTACTAGTTTACTAAACTTGGGTCTAGCCCATGCTTGTGGCAGGAAACAGCCTCCTTTTGCCCTTGCATTTCTGGCCCTTGTCCCAATGGGTCTCTCCTGTGTTCCTCCGTGATGATCAGTACCTTCAGACCTTGATACCCACCTCCCCCATCTTCATCACCAAGCACTGTGCGTTGGTGGAAGGCAAACCTGAAAGGCCTCTTAAGTGGCCTTCCAGAACCTCACCCAGCTCGGCCCTCCTCGCCCCTCAAGCTCCCCTCCTTGTCTCATCCCACCCCTTTTGACTGTTACAACCCCCACAGAATCAGAATTCTTTTTTCCTGAAGGGCCACACCTGGTGGTGCTCAGGGCTTACTCCTGGCTCTGCACACATGAATTACTTCTGGCCTGGCACAGAACCATGTGGGATGCTGGGGATCTAAACCCAGTTGGCTGCAGGCCATGCAAACGCTCTGCTTGCTGTCCTAGTGCTTTGGTACCGGAAGTCAGAATTCTTGGGCAGGCTCCCAGGGCTGGCTCTGAGGTGGAGTCAAAGCATTGCTCCTGGCTTCCCCCACAGACTCTGAGCAGAATTGTTAGTGGTGTTCCCCTGATGCTAGGCATGCCCCTCAGGCCTTTGCCCAGGCTTTTGGCTCTGCAGAGGGTACCCCCTCCAGCCTCCTCTCCTCCTTTCTCTCTAGCTTCCTCTCCTTCTCTCTCTCCATCCCCTATTTCTCCTCATTCCTTGAGATCAGTCACTGTCACCTTTTCCTGATTGCCCCAGGTAAACTGTGTATCTTCTTTCTCTAGGGTCTCTTTACCACCTTTGCAAGAAACTCCCATTTGTTAAATGAACTGGCATGTGGTTGTTTGTGGGTTTGTTTTCGTCCAAGGCTCTGAGCCGTGCCCAGTCATCTCTGACCCTGAGCATGTTGTCAGATACCAAATGGATGTCATCAAAGAAGTGTTGCATAAAAGGGAAACTGTGGGGGCCAGAAATAGAGAGTACAGAGGATAGAGCACTTGCCTTGAACATGGCCAACCCAGATTAGATCCCCAGCACCCATTATGGTCTCCCCAACCCACCAGGAGTGATCCCTTGAGCCAGGAGTAAACCAAGTACAGCTGGATGTGGCAAAAAAAAAAACAAAAACAAAAACAAAAACAAAAACCCACAATAAAATAAACTTGTTTTGTTTTGTTTGGGGGACACACCCAGAAATGCACAGGCATTGCTCTTGGCTCTGCACTCAGGAATCACTCCTGGGAGTACTCAGGAACTATTTGGGCTTCCTGGGATTGAACCCAGGTCGGCTCTATGCAAGACAAACACATTATTCATTGTACTATCTCTAGTACCCAAATAAAATTTTTAAGAAAGGAAAACTGAGTCCTAATAAAGTGACCTTTGATGACCACAGGGAGGCATATCAGGGATGGTGGGGCCAACCTCAAGTTTTCAAGGGAGCGGCCAAAGTTTCTACCTTTAAGGAGCTTGCTGTTTTCTGGAGAAGGCTGCTGGGTCTCACAGTTTCGAGATTTTTGCAGAGCACCTACAGAGTGCAATGGTAGCAAGTAAGGCAGGGTTACCTTGTGGGGTTAGAAGAGGCAGCATCTGAGCTCCAAACTTGCCAGACATGGGTCGGGGAAGGGGATTCCACAGGGAGGGCATGGTGGGAACAGGCTGGGAGGAAGAAACAATCCAGTCTGCAGCTAGCGCTCCAGCTGCCTCCCAGAGCCTTGAGCGCCTGACCAGAGTCACCTTTCTTCCCCGTCCTGCAGAATCTGACATTTTCATGGCCAGGGCTGAGCTTGCACATACTGGGAGGATGGTGGATGATGTGCCCGGGGCAAGCTGGGTGGGTCTCACGTCCACCCCTCTTGTCGTGCAGGGCGAGGTTGCTGCCTTCTTCGTGGCTGACCTGGGAGCCGTAGTGAGGAAACACTTCGGCTTTCTCAAGTGCCTGCCACGCGTCCGGCCCTTTTATGCTGTCAAGTGCAACAGCTGCCCAGGCGTGCTGAAGGTCCTGGCCGAGTTGGGGCTGGGCTTCAGTTGTGCCAACCAGGTGAGCCGCTGTCCTTCCCTGCCCCAGCTCCCGACCGGCCTTGGGTGTCCACGGAAGCACGGGTCACCTGCACTTGGACCACCCCCGTTGGGAGAGGGTTGAAGGGATAAGAGCAGAGGAAACATGGAATCTGCTGGCCTGGAAATTCCAAATTGGAACCTGTGTGTTCCTGGGAAGATGGGTCACTTTTTTCTTTTTCATTTTTTTTGGGGGGGAGGTGGGTTGGTGAGTGGGTGGGAATCCATACCTGGTGGTGCTCAGGGACCACCAGGGTTATAGACTTTGGTGGCCCTGGCTGGGGTGGGCACATGAGTGCCAGATATTTAACTCAGGGATGTGCCCTATCACAGAGGGTATTTTCCCTGTCCCCACGTGTAACTTTTGCCAGGGCAGGGGCGGCGCTGTGTTCAGTGCTTACTGGAGGCTCTGTGCTCAGGTCACTTCTGGTGAAACTCAGGGAACTTTATGGTGTGCTGAGGTTTGAACTCAGGTTGGTTGGCTATGTGCAAGGCAAGTGCCTTACCTGCTATACTGTCTCTCCAGCCCTGAGTTATGTTTTTGCTTGTTTGTTTTGGGGCTATATCCTGTGGTGCTCAGGGCTTACTCTTGAAGGTACTTGGGGTCCTTATGCAATGACAGGGATTCAAACTAGGGTTGGTTGGTTGTCTGCTAGGCAAGTACTTTACTTGCTGTACTTTCTCTCCAGCCTTTGGAGGTTGCATTTTTAATGGAGATCTCCCTCCTTTCCTTTCCTTCCTTCCTTCCTTCCTTCCTTCCTTCCTTCCTTCCTTCCTTCCTTTCCTTTTATTTTCTTCTCTTTATTTTTTTTTAATTTCTTTTTGTTTTGGGATCTTACTCTGCAATGCTCAGGGGTTATTCCTGGCTCTGCTCTCAGGAATTACTCTGATGGTCCTCGGGGATCATATGGGATCCTGGGGATTGTACCCTGGTCAAGCTGTGTGCAAGGCAAGTGGCCTCCCTGCTGTACTATCTCTCTAACCCAATTTTCAAATTTTCTTCGGATTGCATGATTTATTGAACTATATACAGAGCTGTACATAGAACTATACATTATTAGAGCTATTCTTCAAATAAAATGTCTTTTAAGTTTATTTTTCTTTTTTAAATCTTAATGTGTACCTGTGTATTTTCTTATCTGATCATTTTAGAGTTTTGTTACCTTTCTTTTTTTTTCTTTTTTTCCCACTTTTTAATTTTGTTGTATCACCGTGAGATAAGAGTTACAAAGCTTTCATGTTTGAGATTCAGCCATACAATGGTGAAACACCCATCCCTTCACCAGAGCACATTTTCCACCACCAATGTTCCAAGTATCACCCCCCCCCCGTCACATACATATACATCACAATCCCCACCCTGCCTCTATGGCATGCAATTTCCCCAATACTCTCTCTTTTATTTGGGGCATTAATTTTACTTGAATTTTCCCACCATGATTCACACCTACCTGCCAGGGGCAGATAGTAGATAATATATTTTCCATAGCTCATTTCGAATACCAGAGAGCTCACGCGGGTACAATTGTAAATGTAAATTTCTAGATTGTAAATGGTTGGGTTCCAGAGAAATCTCTATATGGCACTAATCCGTTTTGGGATTCATTTGGGAGCCTCTGGGCCAGGGCTGTTGGTGTGCCAAGATGGTGTCCCGAGGCAAATTGTGGGCGTGACGGCCAGTATTCTGGTCAGGTAGTGACCCAGGGAGGGATAGCCGGGGTCCTCTGCTACCATGTGGCCTGGAGATTTAGTCCTGGAACCCACATACCTGGGCCTTGCTTTGAAAGCTCTGAAAGCTCTTGGTCACCAGAATTCCATCTGGAGTAGGTGGGGAGACTGCACCTGCTCCCTGTGGAGTGTCCCGGTGATATTGGCTCTGTATGGGGCCCAGAGAGATCTCCGGCACTGCGGTATCATCTGGGACTTGCTGCTGTGTCTCTGGGCAGGGCTCTGGGTGTGCTAAAATGGTGCCCGGATGCTAATTGTGGACATGACAGCCAGTCTTCCGGGTGGGAGGGGGCCCGGGGAGGGACAGCCCGGGTCCTCTGCCACCATGCGACCTGGAGATGTAGTCCTGGAACCTGCATACCTGGGCCTTGCTTGTGGAAGCTCTTGGTCACCAGTATTCCATCTGGAGTAGGCAGGGAGACTGCACCTGCTCCACGTGGGGTGTCCCGGTGATATTGGCTTGGTATGGGGTCCAGAGAGATCTCCGGCACTGTGGTGTCTTCCGGAACTTGCTGCTGTATCTCTGGGCCAGGGCTGTTGGTGTGCTAAGATCCACATTACAGAATTTTCAGCAGATTATATCTTGGTGAGGTCCTTCCTGAGACAGTGGAGTCAGGCTTGGGATATGGCGGCAACTTTGGATTGTGGAAGCAAGTGGCTGCCGGGGACTCTGCTTGGGTGGGCACAAGCCGACCCGCCCTCTCTAATTTACTCTGGACTGTTCAGCCATGTATGGGTCTGAGCTTAACTGCGGCTCTTTGATCTCTTTCGAGATTTATTTAGGGGTCTCTGAGGCAAGGTCAGTAGTAGAGCTTACAGGGTAGTGCTGGAATTGGTTCATGGGGATGACTGCCAGTTCTTCCATGTGTATTGGGAAGTTGGGGAGGTAGCCCTTCCCAACTCTGAGTGAGCTTGTATAGCTGAGCTGGGGGTGGTTTGTGGGTGTGACTCCCACATACCTAACTTTTGGCCATTTAATTTCTTGGTAAACTTGTTCCCAAGTTGTTGGGGTCTGGCTGAAGGCACAGCGGCAATTAGAGGCTATTAGGAAGCCTGAAGGCAACATCAGGCTGCTGATGCACTCACCCTGCAGGTACAGGTTGACCTGTTGGTGGCACCATACCCCCAGTTTTGTTACCTTTCTGATTTGCTGAATGCTGTGGGCTTCCCTGCCCCCCCCATCTATATTTATTTATTGTTTTTTGGGGGGGTCATATCTGGCAATGTTCATGGTTTATTCCTTGATCTGCACTTAGGAATTGCTCCTGGTGGTGCTCTGGGAACCATATGGGATGCTGGAGATTGGGGTTGGCCACACGCATGGCAAACTCTTTAACCAATATACTGCATAGCCAGCCCTTCCCTTCTAGTCTTTAGATTGATGGAGACACTTCCCATTCACTGAGCTTCTGTCACATGACCGTGTCCATGCAAGGCAGGGCCAGCAGGGTAGCAATGCAGATAGACCCTGAAGGAGTGCTTAGCTTTATCTATCTACATTCAGGGTTTTTTTTTTTTTTCTTTTTGGGTCTCACCCGGTGATGAACAGGGGTTACTCCTGGCTCATGCACTAGGAATTACTCCTGGTGGTGCTTAGGAGACCATATGGGATGCTGGGAATTGAACCCGGGTTGGCCACATGCAAGGCAAATGCCCTACCTGCTATGCTATCACTCCAGCCCCTGCATTCAGGTTTTAGTAAGTAAAATTTTATCATCTTAACACTATGCTGTTTACTCAGAGTGAAGCTTTGAACATCTTTGTTCACTGAGCAAACCAATGTGTGGAGCCTACGACAGCCCCAGGTGGGGATTTAATGAATCAAACAAACAAGGTTTTTTTTTTTTCCATGGAGCTGAAGTTAAAAGAATGATAATCTGGAATATTTTAGACTGAAAATGCTGTGGGGAAAATTAAAGTAGGAGGGGAATCGAGGACTGAAATCTGAATACAACTGAAGGAAGCCTGGCATCAAGCCAGGAGGATAACTAGGATAACTAGGAGGAAAATATTCCAGAGGGAGAGACCATCAAGGAAAATATTCCAGAGGGAGAGACCATCAAGTGCTCCAGTGTGGTGGGAGCGTGTCTAGGGGGTGTTGATTTGTGATATGGCCATTACTGGGTTTTGTTTTCAATTGCTTTTAGGCTATTTTGTTGTTGTTGTTGTTGTTTTGGGGGTCACTTCCAGTAGTGTTCAGGAACTGCTCCTGGGATGGTGCTAGGGGGTGGTTCCTGGAGGTGCTGGGACTATGCAATGCTGGGGCTCGAACTTGGGGCTCCTGCATGCAAAGCTTACACGCCAGCCCTGGGAGCCATCTCCCCAACTGCCAGAGTGATGTTTTAAAGAGAAAGCTCTTTTATTTTTTTATTTAATTTAATTTTATTTTTGCTTTTTGGGTCACACCTGGCGATGCACAGGGGTTCCTCCTGGCTCTGCACTCAGGAGTAACTCCTGGCGGTGCTCAGGGGACCATGTGGGATGCTGGGAATTGAACCTGGGTCGGCCGCGTGCAAGGCAAACGCCCTACCCGCTGTGCTATCTCTCCAGCCCCGAAAGCTCTTTTATTTTTATTTATTTAGTTTTTGAGGAGCATTTTTTACATTATGGACAGCAGTGTGGCTGAGTGTTGGAGGAGGATTCTAGAAAGAGTTCCTGGTTAGAGAAAAGAGAGTTGGTCTGGGCAGGCTGACAGGGCTGGAGGGATTGCAGCGGGGGAGGCGGTCAGAGCAAGCAGGCTCCCTTTGTAGAGACTGAAGCCTCCTTTGCGTTAGCTCTTCCTTTGTATATTTAGTCAGGTGAGTGTGTGGTACAGTGGGAGAGAGATGGTTATTTCCCTTCTGGGATGCTGTGGTCCCCTGGACGTACTCGCAAGTAAGCAGAGCCAGGATTTACCACCTTATCACTTTCCTGTAGGTTGCTGGGCCTCTGTTCTGGGTAGAGAAGCACCCCTCCTTTCCCGCCTCCTGGGTCTAGGGGTAAAGTACAGTCCCGAGCCCTCGGACCAGAGCCCTCACTTCTGGAAATCCAGGCCTTGGGCCCTGGTCTTCTAGCCTCAGAGGCTGGTCTCCAAGAGCAGAGTTATGGGGTATCAGGGCAGAGAAAGATCTGGAAGTCAGTGGGGACATTAAGCGTCTTTGCAGTTTGCGAGTGCTTCTGTATGCCAGGCACTTTACTGAGCGTTTTTTGTACCTGCGCTCACTTTATTTCCGCAAACCCCCACGAGGCAGACACGAGGTCATCTTACTGCAGTTC